ACACACGCAAACAATTAAACATGCACTGTGGTGGCAAGTGGAAAGTGTTATGGGGAAATAGAGCAGTGAGGGGACGCAGGAAGTGTGAGATTGAATCACCAGGGTAGCAGAGGAATATTAGTTCTGATAAGATGACATTTGCACAGAGACCAGAGGAGACCAGTCATGTGCACAGCCCAGTAAAGGGCATAAGATCAAGAGAGCAGTATGTGCTAAGGCTCTCTGATGGTCTTGATCTCAGAATTCTAGAGACACAGCAAGGGGGTCATGAAATCAGCACAGAGCAAAGGAAGGGAGGGACGAAAGTCCTTAGTCCTTGAGGTCTAAGGGATCTTGGCTTTTGCCCAGTGTGTTAGAGGAAATTCGGAAGGTTTGACACAGAGCAGTAATATGTATTCTGGTAGAGATTCCTGAGTGCAAAGCCAGGAGGAACCCCTGTGCACCGGCGGGTGTGACCCCCCAAATAAAATCACTCCTGGTGGTGCTCAGGGGACCATCTGAGATGCTGAGAATTAAACCCAGGTTGGCCACGTGCAAGGCAAACACGTACCCGCTGTGCTCTCGCTCCAGCCCCTGGCTTGAGTAGTTTTAAGAATGATGCTGATATTTACTGAGAAGAGAGAAATTTGGGAAGACTGGGAATGTTGTTATAGATATACTAGGTTGAAGATGCTTAGTAGATATTTGGTTTAAGAAATGTAGTAAGCAGATAGTGATGTAAGTCTGAAGTTAGAGGTCTGTGCTGTGACCATTAATTTTTCATTTAAATTTAAAATTAATTATTTTTATTTCTTTATTTTGGCTTTGGGGACATGCCTGGTAGTGTTCAGGGCGTACTCCTGACTCCATGATCAGGAATAACTCCTGTCCAGGTTCCAGGGACCATATGTGGTATCAGGGATCAAGCTAATGTTGGCTACATGCAAGGCAAGGACTTTACTTATGAACTATTTCTGGCCCTCATTAGTGGTTTTCATAGAGTTGTTTTGGTGTAGCAGTTGTGGAGAGACCCTGACCTGAATAAGCTCTAAACATAATGGAAAGACAAGAATTGAGACAACAGTGGAGAGAGTAGGTACTTTTTGGAGCACTGTGGCATACAAGTGCAATGAAACAAACAAAAATTATAAGAAGTGGAAGAAGCCTTTTATCTAGTCCTTAGTGGTAGATGATGGGCTGGAGCGAGAGCACAGCGGTAGGGCGTTTGCGTTTCACGCAGCCAACATGGCCAACCCGAGTTCGATTCCTTCCGCCCCTCTTGGAGAGCCCGACAAGCTACTGAGAGTATCTCGCCCGCATGGCAGAGCCTGGCAAGCTCCCCGTGATGTATTCGATATGCCAGACACAGTAACAACAAAGTCTCCAAAGGAGACGTTACTGGGCCCACTCGAGCAAATCGATGAACAATGGGAGGACAGTGACAGTGACAGTGGTAGATGATATGGCTGATATCTTTCTAGATGGTTTCAACCAAAGTAGTACATAATGCTTATTCATCTTCACTCTTCACTATTTCAAAGAGCTTTGCAGGGGCAGCGAGATATATCAAGTAAAAAAATATGTGCCTAGTATGTGCAAGGCCCTAAATTCAATTCCCAGCACTGCATGGCCTCCAGAGTACCAGGTGGTATAGCCCTGGCGTCCATTCCAAATGCTGCTGGGCCTGGGTACCATGCTGCAAGCCCAACTACCGAACCACAAGTCCTATATGTCCAGGCCAAGAATTGCTGGTAATGGCTCTCAGGACCCACAAACACCCATAGGGGTGGGCCCTATGGAAAAAAATGTGCAGACATTATTCCAGGCAGGAAGGATGAAAGACTGAATAAGCCTCTCCTTGAAAAGTGTTCTCTTTTAATTGGTGATCCCTGAACAACAAAATACAGCTGTTAGCCTTATACATAAGCAAGGAGTTATCTGCAAGTTATCTGCCTCCTATCTCAAAACTTCCTACTTATCTCAATGTGCTCATCTTTGGAGAACAAAAATACCTTCCTGAACGGCATGGCAGGCGATAATAGGGTCCTATATGTGAAGTACTAGATCACGTGGTCATCTTTTACAAGTTCTACTGAGACCCTCTGTGGAAACTTTCTTCTACAACTGACCCCTAGTTACTCAATCTAATCTAACCCTCCCTCACATCACACTGAAGCATAACCACTGTAGCACTGTAGCACTGTCCTCCCATTGTTCACTGATTTTCTCGAGCGGGCCCAGTAATGTCTCCATTGTGAGACTTGTTGTTACTGTGTTTGGCATATTGAATACGTCACAGATAGCTTGCCAAGCTTTGTCGTTCTGGTGGGATACTCTCGGTAGCTTGCCAGGCTCTCCAAGAGGGGCGGAGAAATCAAACCCTGTTCGGCCAGGCCGGTCCTGGGCAAGGCAAACGCCCTACTGCTGTGCTATCACTCCAGCCCTATGCCAGAGAAATGATTTTTGTTGACATTTCCTTAAGGTCTCTGAAATGGATTTCACTATTTGTTCATAATCATCAGGCCATGCATCTTTGTGGGCCTGGTGTATGTCTGTGCCCCTTTTCTCCGGAGTGAGCCATGTGATTTGCTTGAGCTACTGGAGGGGAGCAGTTGTGCTTGTGTGAAACGTGTGTGAAACTCACGTTTCAGCAAAAGGCAAAAGCCGGCTTTGTGTGCCTCTGCCCCATGCCAGGAGGATAACCTGCCTTACACGTCTGCTGCTCTGAGCTCTAAAATGAGAGACATGCAAGCCTGTCTGCACCCAGGCCCTGCTGAACTCAGGACAAGGGCGGTTGGTCAACATCCTCATGTACCACGAGCCACATGGAAATAATTTTGTTGAAAGTCACTAAGAATTTGGGATTATTTGTCCTTGCAGGAAAAGCTGATGGATACACTCTTCTATTAGACTGTCAAATGTGTGAAATTAAGCAAAATATTTACTTTTTATGACATACCTTTTATGCCTACTCCCATGCTGGGGCCCCTAATCAGCACATATGCCACCTGGTAAGATTCTCTGTACCCAGCGTAGCCTTATTGACTGCAGTTGGGAATCAATTCACAGTTCCTTTTACTGACTGACCTAGGTTCCACCATTATATGCTCCCTAAAAAGCTCTATTCAAAATTCCCACCCTCCCCTTAGTTCTTTCATTTTAGCCTGTAGGGTGATCCCTGATTAGTCAAAAAAAAGTCTCAAATAATTTTGACTTCACAGAGTGGATTGTATCTTGGCCATCATAGTGCTGTTTTCATCCCCAGGTGCCCCAGGGGCTAAGTCCTAACTTTGCTAATGTGTCTTCGTTTTCTGTTTGCTTTTGAGCGTAAGGCAGGTCAAACTTTGCCCAGGAGGTCCTCTGCCATGAAAATAGCCCATAAATCCAGTAAATGTTTCTACCTGGAGCAGAGACCATTCTAGGTATTGTGTAGCAATCAGAGACAATAATACAGCCCAGTTGGGGATTTATGGGTTTAGATTCTCTAGGAAACAGGATACTTATGCAAAAGTTTAAGACAACCACGTGTTATAAAATAACCATTGGCATTTTTATAAGAAGTCATGTGATAAGATAGGAAAAAGAATTCACTTGCAAGTCTAGGGGCCTGGTTCTAGTCCTGCTCTTCTGGTTGCTAATTAAGTTGCTTTGGGAAGACCTTTTCACTGTCCTATTTATATAGGAAAAGATTTTAATAGGAAAATATAAGGTCCCTCACATTTTCATAGTCTTAGAACTCCTAAGAGACATCACAAAACAGCATAAAAGGCGTTCAATACTCAGTATGTAGGAGAGGCAGTAAAAGTTGGAGGTCTGAAGAGTCTTTGTTTTGGGGCCCCTGCCCCCATCTCCAAGCCAGTCTGTTTCAGCCTGGGAATAGGAAACCCCTAAACATTGACTCAAGGGCTAGACCCAATAGAGTTGATCAGAGAGTGAAAGATCTCAACAGACACACCTTGAAGTACACTCATCCACCACAAATTAAACAGAGGAGGGGCTCTCTGAGAGATGACTTAGGCCCACGGAGAAGCTCGGGTTGGGGTCTGCTGGAATTGATGTGAGGTGCACTAGCCGTTTTGTGTTCAGTGTCTTGGACTCACCCATCATGGGGCGGGTTTGAGAAGGTGCCGGGGTGAAGGAGCTGACCAGGTGACTGCTCTCTCAATAAACAATCTCCCCACCTTTCTGCTTGATGCAGAGCTAAATGGGTTTTGTTGACAGGTGGCATGCTCTGAGGTAGGGCTTCTGAGGCCAGAGCTGCCCCGCTGGACATGAGAGGGGCAGGGAGAAATGGCAAATAGGACTTTTTTTTAAAAATGTCCCTGGCTACTTCCTGATTGTTCTTTGGAAAAGTACAGCAAGTAGAGCTAATCCCATTGGCTGAAATCTCCAGAGCTTTGGAGGATTAGCCTGCTCACCTGGCTCTTGTGCTGTAAATGTATTTAAATTGCCAGCCCAGACCTGGTGGGGATTGCTCAGAAGGCCCTCATTGTTTCCTCTGTACAGGCTGTCTTCATTTGGCTCCGTGAATGCAGTGCAGTTTTTTCCAGGTGCTTACAGGGAGGGGAGCGGACCACTGTGTGTTTGAAAGACTTCACATTAGACTTTGGTTCTTTATTTTATTTTGTGTTATTTTTTTGCTTTTTTGGGTCACACCTGGCAATGCACAGGGGTTACTCCTGGCTCATGCACTCAGGAATCACTCCTGGTGGTGCGCAGGGGACCATATGGGGTGCTGGGAATTGAACCCAGGTCGGCTGCGTGCAAGGCAAACGCCCTGCCTGCTGTACTGTCACTCCGACTTTGGTTCTTCAAAGCCTGCTGTACTGTCAACCCCGACTTTGGTTCTTCAAAGCAAAGGGATTCATGGGGCGGGGGGGGGGGGGGGGGGGGGGGAGAACACAGCCCTTCTTTGAAATAAAATTAGGCTCCTACTGCAAAGTGCCCTTGGCAGTTCTAGAAAGAAAAGCTGAGGGTGGCAACAAGATACCATTGTAAATAAGAAGGATGGCTTGACTCACTTGGCACACCGGACACCAGGCGTAGGGGGCGCAGCACACGGAAAGCCCTCAGCGCCTTCACGTCAAATCCAGCCCCTTTCCCTCCTAGAGCGTTGGCCCCGTCTGCTTTGGTTGCTTGCTCTAAAATTGCACTAAAAAGCCTGGAAGAGAGGGAGGAGAGAAGGCGCCGTGAGCATCGTTTCCCATAGACCCCTGGAGCTCTGCATTCTCTGAAGGACTCCTGGGGGCACAGAGGCTGTGGTAAGGTGAGGGCATGTGCACCGAGGCGAGAGGGTCAGCAGACTGTTCTAAATTCGCTCAGTGTAGGCGTCACCGTGCCACGTAACCAGCAGCCCAGGGAGTCTGAGCTTGTCGCTATGAAGTCATGAGATCACATGTGACTTTGTGAGGCTGGGCAGCCCAGGCAGAAGTAGGACCCAGATAAAGCTGGTTCCTAGTTCCTTTGTGATGCTCTGGTCTCTCCGTCATTTCCTAGCTCCACTGTCATTTGAGCAAAATCACATTCTCTCTCCCCATCCATCTTCTCCCTCAGCCCCCTCCTCTCTGATTTGTGCCAGGGCACCACTTGGTAGATTTCCCATATCTTATGACAAGGCATAAAGATGCCTGAAAGATGTACCCTGACAAAGGAGTGAGTGAGTGGTTTCAGCTAGGCTAAAACAGCTGCCTGGAACCCTCAGACAAGGACTCAATGTCCCCTGCGTGAGATACAACATTTTTCACGAACGTTCTTCTGTGGGAATTTTTTTTTATCATTCTGCTAGCCATTTAGTGGGAACAAGAAATATAAAATAAATTATTGTGGACATGCTATGGGGCTCAGGTATGAGGGGTAGTTGGGAAAATGGAGACAATGGTGGAGGGAAGGTGATGGTGGTGGGACTGGTGTTGAAATATTGAATGCCTGTATGAAATCACCAGGAACAACTTTATCAACCACAGTGCTTAAATAAAGTGGGAAAAATAAAAATTAAAAAATGAAACAGCTGTCTGAAGTTTGTAGTGTGGAGGGTATGACCACTTCTCTCTGGGAGAAGCTGCTCACTGCATTCTCTTGGCTCTAATTGGGCCAAAGCAGACCTTAAGTGTAGAATAACATTGGTTTGTCCTTTCTGCTTTGCCACAGGGAGCTTAGGTTTATTGGGTTACTCCCACCACAGTGCTCCCAGTCGTCTGTTTTTATTTGTAACCTCTTTCACTGTGCTCTGTTAACTTGTAAATATTGCATTTCTCTTCTTATGTCCTTTGCATAGTTAATACAGAGCGATGTCCTTTTTGTATAGACACAGGAAGATAGTTAATGCTATGCTTTTGTAACTTGGGAGTTAATTTACTCTGAATGATATTCACTCCTGGGCATCTGTTTTCTAGACTTAAGCCTCAGTTGCCCTTAGTTCCTAGCACCCCAATAGTGGGGTCCCAACGAGGGACTGGATGCACCCAGGGCAAGCTGTGAGCTACCCTGGCATCGAAACTGGCCAGGCCAAGCACCATAATACTTAACTATAAGTTAAGAGCACAGACATGGACAAATTCTGTGATGATCCAAAAAAGTAGCATCTAGATTAGGACCCTGCTGGGGTTAGGAAAGATTAATCTGGCCTGAACACACTAGTCTAGGATCTATAGTGAAATATCCCCAGGAGAGCCACCCCAGAAGCTCAATGTATCTCTTACTGTGTCCATACAAAATAACTAATATTAAGAAGTAGAAGTAGAATTAAGATGTTAATTAAATTATTGGATTAAGGAGAGGGGAAACACCCCTAAGTGGTATTTTGCCCTTGAGCCTGATCTGCCATTATGAAGGGCTTTTGATATGTTGATTGTGGTGTGTGTCTACCCACATGCAGGGAATTGGTGAGAGACAGAGAAAGACCAAGCTATGAGAGGGAGCTCAGAGAGATGAGCCGGAGATACAAGAAGAGACCAGAATGAGGGGCTGTGTGAGACTAGAATGGGGGATTTAGTGAGACGGGAATAGGCGCGTGGGGACAATGGAATAAACGGTAACTGATCACCAACCAGCCTGGCCCTCATCTCTTCCTTTGTCCGCCCATGGCATTGGCCATCCCTGGTGGGCAAGTGGCCCAAGCCCACCGAATGCAGATGGTGAGAGAGAGCTGCCGGGGCTCCTTAGCTGCCTCGTGATTGCACACTTAGGAACACTTTGGCTCTGATAGTGCCCCAATATAGTACCAGCCTGCAGAGACCATGTACTAGGTCCTCTATCTCTTGTTTTTTTCATACCATACCAAAATACAAACCCTTAATGATTTTTCTCCACCATTTTCTGTACATGCAATGTGTTCATCGTATGTTCCTCAATTGCGTGTTGCTCACTGTTCTCCTTCATGAATATGTAAGAGTTTCCTGAAAAACTACTAGACTATGTATAACTGCTACATCACTCTATTTCTGCTGGGCATTTAACCAGATCCTTAATAAATGTCTCTGAAACTGTTCCCCAATCTACAATAGTGGACTTAAGTAGTTTTCATGCCAATAAATTGCACCCTTTTCTATGTAGTTATTTCTGTGTATTTTTGATTGACAGTAGTTAAATGAATATGTTTCAAGTCTGAGCAAAATTGCCCATTAAATGGCATGTGACTGAGATGGAAATTTCTGCTCTGTCACTCTGTGTTGTTGCTTATATAGTCATTCCTCCAATAAGCATGAGAATGCCTGGCACCATTGTACACATTGGGATTATAGTAAAATAGACAAAGGCCAAACTTACCATCTTGGAGGTTATATTCTAATAGGAGAGCCGGACAATAAACCAAATGATCAATAAGGTCTATGCCACGTGGTAGGAGAGAAATGCATCAAGAAAGGGAATGTGGAGTGACTGGTGATGAGTACTGGATGTAATACTGGTGGTCAGGTGAGGGTGGGAAATGGATCAGAGCAGGCAAAGATGTGAGCTCCTCCCGGGAAGGGGGTGGGTGATGGGAAGCAACCTACTGGGCCCCTAGTTTTCTCTGAGGTGGAAGTTACTGGGAACTTTGAGTAAAGGAGTAATCTGATCTGATGAAAGTTTTTTTTGTTTTGTGGGTTTTTTTTTTTTTAGTGAAACACCATGAGGCACAGTTGTAGACTTACAATTTTTTGTGTTTGGGTTTCAATTATACAATGATCGAGTACCCATCCCTCCACCAGTGCCCATTCTCCACCACCACTGATCCCAGTATCCCTCCCTTCCCCCATCTCCCCATCCCACCCTGTCTCTGTGTCAGGGCATTCCCTTTTTTGTTCTCTCTCTCCCTTTGGGCGCTGTGATTTGCAAAAGAGGCATTGAGTGGCAATCATGTTCGGTCTATAGTCTACTTTCAGCATGCATCTCCCATCCTGGGAGGATCCTCCCAACACCCTTTATTTGGTGCTCCCAAATGAAAATAAAAGCTCTAACTGAGCTGCCTTTTCCAAAAGTTTTAAGAGAATCACTGATAGTGTGGGGTAAAGACAACAACACAAGCAACTGTGCTGGTGCAGATGGAGTAGCTTCAAGCAGGTGGGAAGAAACAGACAAAGTCTAGATATACGTTTAGACAGAGCAGTGGCTTCTGGATTCTGGATTTTACTGCAATGCAGGAGTGACTTGTGGCCATTGTGGTAGGCTTGAGGAAGGGGAGGACTAAAAAGGATTCCTACTCTTTTGACTTTAACTATGGAAGGGAAGTTTCTGAATGAATCAAGGGCTCTATTTTGAAATGTGAGTTGTTGAGTATCTGAATGAGTATCTTGAATGGATGCAATGGAGTCTTGAGTTTGACTTTTTTTGGTAAGGGGGTGGGAGACACCTGACAGTGCTCCGGGCTTATTCCTGGGAGGTGCTCAGGGGACTATATGGGATGCCAGAGATCTAACCCAGGTCAGCTATATGCAAGGCAAACACCATACCCACTAGATTATCGTTCTCTTGGGTCTTGAGTTCAAAGAATGGGAAAGGGCATCCAGGTTGGAGTCAAAAAATTAGGTAGTTATACAGGTTGTGTTTAATGTCAAACCCTGGATCTAGCAGATAGCACAGAGGCTAAGGTATGCGTTGAGCTTGTGCCTGACCCAAGATGGATAGCTTGGCTCACATGAACCTCTGAGCTTTGCCAAGTGCAGTCCTGGAGACTTCCAAACTCAGATAAAGTAGAAGTCTATGAACGGGGAGGCAAGTTCAGAAGGTCAAGATGTGAAGTTCCTAAGCCCTGGAGTGCTCCAACTTTGAGGATCAAGGAGAGGAAATGATGATATTGACAAGGCAGACTGTGAAGGAAGTGGTGACCAGAAAGTGATAGTAAACTCTATGGAATGCTGCATTTTCAGGCCAGGAAACTGACCACTGGACTAAGTAGTAGGGGCATCATGGACCTTGGAAACATCTGTTTTGGTGGCATAATGTACATACTACTAGACAGTTTCCTTTGAGAGAGGAGAGGAGAAACTGGAGACTGCTCAGCAAGACTGCTCTGTCCAACAGAAACAGAATGCAAGACCCTAATGGAAGCTGTATCTGCATTGTTATGTCTCTAGGAAGCACAGGTAAAAAGGAAAGAAGAAACAGGGGAAATATACTATATTTGATTTAATCCAATGTACCCCCAAATACCACCATCTCAACTGTAATGAAAAAAGTTATTGCGGTTTAGTCGAAAACTCTGGAATCTGCTTTTACAACTACAACATAATTCAATTTAGATTCAAGTACTGGTGATTGAAGAATAGAACATCTCTGTGGAAATTTGCTACAACAGGGAGGATAGAGGAGGGGATTGATTATGAGAGAGAGTTATGGGATCAAGAAAGTTTTTTTTTTGTCTTTAAGTGTGGGATGGCACAGCATTTTTGTGGGTCAGGGAATCATCCAACACAGACAAATTGCTGAGGCAGAGCAAGAGGTCTCACTGCTGGGGAGATTCGAGTCCTAGCCCTGGCAGGAGGGGCCTTGGACACACAGAGGAATGGCTGATTGCAGTTTGAGCAGGAGGGCACATGACAAGGATCTAGATCCAGTGTGGGGGACATAAAAGGTCTTTTCTGACTCTACCAGTTTTCTTAGGGAAATAGGTAGGAATTCCTTCAACTACATGTGTGAAAAGGAAGAACTTGTAGAAGTTTGAGTACTATGAAATAATCACCAAAT